GAGTGACCCATTGTCAAGGGACGTAAATCGTCGGGCGGCGCTCCCGGTTTTCCCAGTGTCTGTTGTTTTTGTCAGTCAAGCTCAACCTCCTCGCCCCAACCTTGTAATAACGATACCCCCTGGGTTTCAATCACCTTTACTTAATGGGCACCGTGCCCCATTGGTCACAGAAAACAATTTAGCATATTCCGTGCTTCTGGTGGTGGATGATTGACACATGCGACAGTGGTGGTGACAGGCGCTGTCTGCACTCACAGCTACCCGCCAAACCGCCTTGATCTTGCCCTTGTCCCCCACTCCTTCCGTCATTACTAATCCATAATGCGTGTAAAAGTAGGTTAAGTCTGGCCCCGACATGTCGCTAGACGTGTTGGAAGCCGACCCTATATAATGCGACATTGAATGTGTGCCAGTGATGTACTTCCCAGCGATTGGCGGTCATCCCAACGTCCCAACCTGATAACCTCCGTGTAGCTAGGAATGGAGGTTTTGTTTTCGGTGTGTCTGTTTGTCCCCTTCCCTGTTCTTCCATTATTTCCACGTGTTAGACACCTCGGGGATACTGACAGCAAGTTAGGTCAAAGGTCTCAAAAAGGTTATTAGATTCCCTATGAAAAAGTTTATACGCAGGGTTTCCTTACCTTAACATCCTTACGTATATATCCTAGTCTTACATTTTAATTGCAATATTTGTCGCGTCGTCAAAGAGTAGCAAGTATGTTTTTCCTTAATTTCTTTACAAAGATACGATTTCAGCTATCTATATTTTACCTTTGACGTATTCGTATTCTTGAATATTGTCTTTGTTGTATTCTTGTACTAAAGACGAACGAACGGACGAACTAACAAACAAACTGAATCAAAACAACAACAGGGTTGTCTAGCCTTCCCGACTTGCCCCAAGCGGTGTTCTTTACCAGATGCCACCAGTGAACGGAGCATTTCACATCTGGTCGTTAGTCACAATTTCCTTGCGCCGTACGAAGCCGAAGTTTACCTTGATGATGATTAGTTACACACCTTGTTAAATCATGCAATCGTTGTTAAAACATTTTAAGACATGTAACATAAGGTCCCCTGTACAAGCAAACAGACACACAAACTCACAGCGCAGCAACTCAGCAAGAATATCTTCGTACTCAGAAGTATTGGAAAGAAAAAGCATAAACGGCGAATTCCAAAAGATTTACTCGTGCACATTTTGGATTGTATTCAAGAATCTGATCTTACAAGTTACAGTTATTCAAGACACGTACGTAGCGGAATTATGGCGGTTGTGCCGATCAGGTTAATGTCCCTGTTTGTGTCGGTAAAGGCGCTTGCCAAGACAGTGTGTGTGAGAGAATGGCAACAACCTGGTTGACACGAGTGACGCCGACTCTCAAAATTCGAATTCCTTTACCAGCTGTCCAGCTGTAGAGTTTCTGGCTTATTCAAGTAGGACGTGTGTGAATTCTTCAGTTATAGACGCCGACGAATTCCGAATCGTTTCATACTTTACTAGATGCGGTCAGGCGGCTTATTTCCGTTTCCGACAGCTGATAATTCTGATGCTCTCCTAGAGATTCGTGGATTTCCTGCCATACGAGTTGACCGCAACATTACCACATTCTACAACTATGATAAGCTCCTTGTTGAAGACAGCAGGAGTTTTATTGATAAAAGAAAAACCATGATAGAAAGCTCGCTCCAGCTGTGATGTGTGTAGTTAAACGCCTTGAAGTCGTTCCAAAAGACGTTGTTAGTTGGCCTTGTCCCACATGGCATCGCACCAGTCTGGTCGGATTTAGCTGAGATTCTGGACATATTCCGGGTTACGCCCTTCCTCCTCACCAAGCCAATATAGGCTGTATTAAACGCGAGAAGCGATTATTCCAGAACTATTGGCGAAGGAAACAAGATCTGGATTTATCTTAGGTCTCTCCATTTCCAAATTGGCGGTTCTGTATGTCACTGTGTTTACGGGAAGTACTTTGGGTTTTCGTGACTTTCAAGTTCACCCCATTTCCTGTGTCTGACCTTTTGACCTTTTATTCTCCCTACTTGCCACTTGCTGTCGACCTAGCTCTGTCCGGACAAACATACACACAAGCAAACAGACTAACCCACCCCAAAACAATACTCCCGTACCCGGAAGTTAGGATATTACAGCTTCAGACGGAGATTCAGGCAAAAGATGGATGATATCATAGAAATCTGGGATTGTACCCGAGCCGAGTAGGTCAGAAGGTGGGCCGAGTCTGGTGAACCATAGCGAAGTGGGAGATGCTTTCCACATGCTTTCATATCCACACTTGATAAACTTGTCCGAGACAAAGTCCAGGCCTCTCTAGTTCTAGGGTGTTTCCTCTGCGTGACGTCACGGCTTCCAGGCTTGGTTATTTGAACCTGGCCGAGTCAGACCTACCAGTAGTAGACATTTGGAATGTGGGCTTAGTTGTGTGTATGTGTATGTGTGTGTGTGTGTGTGGCGGGTCTTCATGCGTGAACATCTGAAGGTGAAATAATCCAATATGGATTAGAGTAGGGTGACACGATGTGCTTAGCTATAAAAGCAAGACGTAGTGAATTGTTGCACTACTGACTACTTCTAGTATCTGGCAAAAAGGCTTCATGCTTCACCTCAATTGAAGACGGCTGCTGCCCACCGACTTCCAGGTTTAACCGCCCAACATAGCGGACAATACGTGTATGTTCTAACGTGCTGTACAGCTTTATCGCACCTTTGCACCTACGTGACGTCAGTGAGCTTAGAGAGTAACCAACCGCCAATGCCGACACCAGGCATCTGATGAACGATCTTCCTTGAGGTAAATAGGTCCTTGATAAGAGTGGAAACCGTGTTCTTGTAGTAGGTCGTGAATTTTCCCTGGCAGTGTAGTTGATATTTCAGGTATCACACGCCCTGTCGCCAGTCTATCTTTGGTGGCTTGTCCTGATCTACTAGTATTTCACATAGTCTTAAACTCAACACAGATGTAAGATCCCTCCCACCCTCTCCTAGCAGTTCTGACAATGGCCATGGCGGCTAGTGTATTTGAGCGCGAGTCATTTTGCATCATGGAGCGGTGAAGCCACTGAGTCTGTACATGCCAGATTGTATTTCCGAAATCTCTTCTACTAAGATCTTTCCAATCTTTCGCCGTTCGTCTTCTTCTGTTGGCAACCACAACCCTTGAGCCGTTACCGTCGCTATGCTGAGTTAGAATCGGTTCAAGGTTGGCGTACTGGTTGAAGTTTTTAGCCTGTCTGTGAGTCCAGAAAACGTGCTGCCGTTCCACTCCATGGCCATGTCAGGAAATCCAAGATGCTGCAGATCGAACAAAAAAAAATCGAAGATTTCAACCCCTGGGAAGTATTTAGAGTGTTTTATGTGTTGTTTCGGCGCTGATTTTCATCACAGAAAAGAACTCACGACCTCTTGGTCCAGAGGCACGTTCACTGACAACTGGACTACGCACGTACATTGCTGAACATTAAATGCTAGCTGAACCTCAACAGTGGTAGCCTGGGTGCCATGCTCTTTGTATATATTAGGGAGCGAGTATGGGATCCCCGGTAAACATATAGGGTGGCACGCAGGCGACTCCAGTGGTCCTGTTTGTCACAAGGAGTAACTCAAGCTGGTGTGAGTTGTGCCTTCTAGCGCAGCCTGGAAGTCTGCAGCTTGAACTTAAAACATTGGCCTTCCCCCGGCCGTCTGTGTATAATACAACACAGGCCACGGTGAACGATCGCTCCATTGGAACAATTCTTGATAGTCTCTGCCCAAAGATTTAACGTTCTGCAGCTTGTGTTAGCACATGCATGCAAAACTGAAACCTTTCCATATTCATCCACGTCTGCGCTGTTTAAATCCTTTACAAATGGGAAGGTACGTAGATAACGATTCTAACTGTGGTGTAGTTCGTTAATCTTTTACATACGTTAACCTGAACAATGAATACCACGTAGTTGTCCAGTTTGTTGAACCTCATTTTGTGTCTCCCTGACCATGGCCACTACCTGGTCTGTCAAAATTCACAAACGTTTCCAATGGTTTTATTGACAGATTTGTGTTTTGCTTACGTTCTCCCGTTGATTTAACCTGGGAGTTTATTTCATAGAGTCAGAAGATCTCTAGAGTAGAAAACAGATGTCTGAAAACGTTTGAGCTAAGATTCACTGAAAGGCAAATATCTGCGTCCGCCTCGATGTCGATGGTCCTATGAAGCCACGTGGAAAGTCTTGATATGCTATTTTTAGAATAATTCAATAGTAAAAACTGGCAGTTGAAAAAATACGTCGTTTTAGACTGAAAGACTACCTAGAATTGAATACATCAAAAAGCCTTTGTCCCTCTCTGAAATCTGCAACCTATCTTGTGACATTGGACTAAATGAGACAACAGATAATTATCACATTTATCCATTACGGAATGCCTCTGGGCCAGAGTTTATGCCTTGACCTCTGGTTTGTTTTGACAGCCGGGGTGAGACGCCAAGGTCAGGTTCAAGATTAAGAACGTCTCAGGTTTCATCACAAGCTTTGGAAGGGAAAGTTCCCAACATTCCAAGACCATGAGATCAGATCCCGCTGTTTCAGGCCGTAGTTTTCAAACGTTTTCATTGACCCGCTGGGTAGATGCTGTGGGAGTCAAGGTGACGAGATTTGCAACACTTGTGGATGTATATCAACACAAGGTCGTGTGGAAGTGTCAGGCCTGGTGGGCATGGCATGTGGTTTACATCCGTCTGCCGCATTTTGAAACTTCCACGGATTGAGAATATAGTTCGTTGCGTTCATTGGTCCAAAGAAGAATCAACTGTGTAAGTTACATAGCTGGATACTGTCGTTGGAGACGTTACCTGAAGTTCTTAGACCGTTGAAGAAAATCAAAGTTCAGGTTCTGTTGCTGTCATAAATAGTCATAAACTTGTGATTAGACAAATCCAACCCGAACTGTTAAAATCTGACAAAGGTGATTACCTTGATGTGACGTGTTGTGTTTCTTTTTACAGCTGTTCAAGTAGGAAAGGGACATTTCTTCAACAAGGATGATACAGAGACTGTCGCGAGTGCCCCAACCTACGATGGCACCGGAAAGGTACTTTTCTTACAATCAATTCCAAAGATGTAAGATTATAAAGATGCATGCAAGCAACGCCGTGAAAGACTAACAAGCTCAAAAGTGTAATCATTCTGAAACAGTGCCTTCTCGTACGCTTCAGAAAAACATATTGTGTGTTTCATATTTAGGAAATGTAGACCATGAAAGATATTATATAATCTAATGTCTGAAACATATTTGTTCTCCTAGGTTCTCATCCATGACAACAAAGGAAAGGTTCTCATCGAACTAACCGGTGATGAGGTATGGATATTTTATCAAGGTCTTCTTTGATGGTGGTAACTTTTGATTCAGGAATATTTGCTTTGAATGCAGCATTCATGACCGTATATTCTTTGTGACAACTTCAGTAAATGTTAGTCCAACATTTGTCATAGCCCCTTTATACTAACTGCAACGTTTTTGTGTTTCTGTTCAGCCCGGTGCGAACTTCGGGACGTCCGTTGCTGTGGTAGACCTGAACGGCGACGGTCTGTCTGAGCTCCTGGTGGGAGCACCTCTGCACGGAGGGGACGACGAGCGGGGACAAGTCTGCGTGTACTTCAACACCGGAGAGGTATCTATATTTGTATCATTATTACTTAGCCCTTTGACGTAACGCACGTGCACCAACTTCGCGGCGGAGGTTGAGTGTTTTGCGTGACAGCAGAATGGTGCCGGGCACAGCTACGTGCATTGTATGTGGTGAAATGTATAGTTCAAGCATTTTCGCCATGAAAAGATCTTCTGACCCCCGCCCTGAAATAACCTCTATTAGGTGTATACAACTGACATACGATCCATTGAAATGCAAATCAGGAACACCAACATGGCTGTTAGGATCTGCCTTCATATTGCAATAAAAACGCTGTCTATACTATAGTATCACACCGACCGGTAGTTGTAGCCTATCTGAAGTTATCAAGTGAGGACAGCGGTGCGACGAGTTCCAACTCTGGAGTAGTTCCCAGATTCATCATCTTTACAGAAGCAAATTGCTCTTACGTTATACCAGTTCGTTACGCGGCAAAGAGGAACGACATGATGGTAAACAACAAATGAAAGCTAGGAATGCAGCAGCTGTCATAGAGGACCAATGAACAAGCCTCTTATGTATACAGCAACCGACAAATGAGAACAGGGCCTGAGGGCCGGATGCGGAAAATGGTGGCCAACATACCTGTCACACCTGATGAAGTGGTTAGATTTGTCTCTGGTCACATCCAACAAATACCTTCTCTCTCCGACTCTCTACAGGGGCTAGAACGTCGCCCGGAGGAATGCCTGTCAGGGTCCAGCACTGCAACCTCACGGTTCGGGGTCGCCATAGAAGCTATTGGAGACATCAACGAAGATGGATTTCAAGGTGAAATGTTGCATTTTACGAGGCTTTTCCCCGTTTCTTATCATTCAGTTTGAATAACAAGGAAATGCATGAATTAAAAAAGCTATGCAGGATTATTATGCAGAAATATATTTTGGGCTCTGAAACTTTGCTGCATTACCAATGGATGATGATATTTTATCCCAGACATCGCCATCGGCGCTCCGTTTGAAGACGACAAGAAAGGAGCTGTATACATCTACCACGGAACCAAGGACGGTCTTAACTCCACTTATGCACAGGTATTGCTCTCTGTTGTAACACTTTTGCATATGCCAACTGTTTATTATGCGACTGACATAATAAATGTTACTTGTCGTAGATGCTACAGTTGTTCTCTGTTGTTCTCAGAGAATTTCCTCGCTGGATGACTTTGCGCTGAGAGGGTTGAAGCTGTTTGGCGCCTCCATAGCGGGAGGGGCAGACATGGACGGGGACGGTACCAAAGGTAAGGCAACAGCTTGGCATTTGCACTCACGTGACGATGACGTAAGAGTGTCACTCGCGTGATGTGTCCGCCATATTGGATCTTTAAATTTGGTGAATTTTATCTTGTAGGAATGATCACACTCAGGCGTTTTATATACACAGCAAGAAGTTCCGTGGATGGTTGAGTAAGTGTTAAATTGATACAAAGTATTGAATTAAATGTGCCCTTTTATCCAAGAATATTGTCTGTTGTTATTACAGATATTGCCATTGGGGCCCCCGAGAGCAGCAAAGCTGTCATCATGAAGTAAGATAGATACACGATAAAAATAAATATAATTTGCATGACCCCACTTTTCTGAAGAAAATATTTCTTTCAAGCTTTCAAGCTTTTTATATTTACGTATGTAAATGTAGTCTAAGATAAGTATCTAAAATAGTCGCTAAGACACTTGCAATACGTGTTTTCCAGAGGAAAGCCCGTGATCGAGGTTTCTGCCCAGCTGGAACTGTACCCAGACAAGATTGACGTGCGGGAGTGCCGCATGAAGGGGAAACTGTCCCCCTGCTTCTACGCCACGGCCTGCTTCACGTTCAACGAGAAGAGGGCACCGACAAACATACGTAAGTCTGCTTATGGTTCAAACGTAGAGAGGGAATTTATATCACGATCTCTCAGGACGTGTCAATTTGCGGTGACCAGATCTACAACCAAAATTTCTGCAACTCGACCGCATTCAAATACTTAAGGACACAAATAACACACAGACACACACACAGACCCACGCACGCACACACACACACACACACACACACACACACACACACGTGCATAAAAAATGATAATGTTAATTATGAAGAAGGATATGAACTTTGATGGTCTATTTTACGGCAGCCATCACCTACACGATCTCGGCCGACGCTAACTTGAGGGGCGGGGCGTCGGAGAGCCGACTGGAGTTCTTCGGCCACCAGCACGACCTGAAGAGTGACACCACCCTGTACAACAACCGCAGGGCCTGTAAAAAACATGGCGTCTATCTCAAGGTTAGCAATTCCACACGGACAAGATGATACTGTGTGTGTGTGTGTGTGTGTGTCTGTGTGTGTGTGTGTGTGTGTGTGTGTGTGTGTGTGTGTGTGTGTGCGCGCGTGTGTCTCTGTGTGTGTGTGTGTGTGTGTGCATGTGTGTCTGTGTGTGTGTGTTGTATGTGGTATATGTGTAAGCTGTTTGTGTGAGTGAAAGAGTGTTTCTGTGTATCCGAGTGTGTACGTGCTTGCGGCACAATCAATATGGTTAAGAACCCATTCTTGGGATTAATTGTTATCATCAAATTATACTGATAAATACTACAGAAAACTTCCACCAATGTTTTGAAGGTAAAACTGTGATATCTGGTTCGTTTCAGGATGACGCGAGCGGGTTCCACCTCCCGGCGGAGTTTTCCCTGGAGTACGAGCTGACCTGGGAGAGCAGCGAGAAGTACAACGCGCCCTTCCTCAGGAAGAAGGAGGAAAATATTCGTCAGAAGGTATACTGTCTTTGACATTTTGTCGGGTATACGTAGCAAAGACGTTTTGAAATGTTTTGCAAGGAGAAATGTTGTTCTTCATTCAAAATATGATTCTTGTCAGAATCCATTATCTTTTGAACCTCCATTTGTAACAGTATATACATGTACATGTAGTGATTGAGTAACGCATAAAGATTGCAAATACGAAAGCTACGTGCATGTTGGATTAGTTAATTTCTATCATCGATACCTGACCAGGTTTGCAGACCTTATCAACCTAACTTGTCATATTGACTTCGGGCTTTGTTTCTAACCCAAAGGTGAAGTTTACTGAATACTGCACGGACGGTAGCGACGACTGTTACCGTCTGCCGAAACAGAACCCCAAACAGGCTGAAGCAACCAAAGCGTAAGTTAGTCACGAAAGTCTGCAGTTATTTTAAAACTCAATATCAAATTTTGCGTACGTACGATTGAATATGGAGGTACTAGTATGTGTGTGCATGTGTGGTGTGGACATCATCGTGCGTGAGAAAGCAAGATGCATTCTTATAGGAGAAGTTAAAGTTATGTATATTTTGATTCGATGTATTAACTTAGCGGATAGCGGTTATTTAATTAGCGGTAACCTATGGATTGATCATTTGACAAGAATGCCTGTAGATGATCATTTTACAAACGTGCAGTCAAGTATATTATGAAAATTCCAATGAAGAATGTAGTAAAAGGTGGAATTGTTCAACACCTAATAATCATGATTTGTTTTTTTTGTTTTTAACTTTTTGTCGCATTACCTCGTTTCCCACCAGAAAGAGTCTCGTACCCGACACAAACATGGCCGACACCGCCATGACACAACCACCCAAGGTTCCAACCACGATCAAGAAACTCGTCGCCTCCACAAAGAAGCCGGAGGTCTCAGAAACCAAGGCTCCGGAGAAGCCCTTAATGCCCACAAAGGAAACCGTAAACAAGGAGTCTGACCCCAAAATGGAGGTGAGAATATTTCCTCACTTCTGCTCATAGTTACTACTTTGGATATACATGTATATACATGCATGAAAAGGGATCTTCTTTGTACAATGCATACATTTGTTCCTCATTGTTAAGTCCATTTAATCCCTTCAGGTTGACGCTCTGCCTGCCGGCAAGCCTCACATCGTACCCGTAGACCAACACAAGATCAGACTATCCATAAAAGAAGGTAAAGTTGACCTAAGTAAGGTAAAATTGACGTAGGGAAATTGCATAGTAGATGTGTCAAAAGGCATTTGCATTTGCCAAAATAGAGAAATAGCATATAAGATGCCTCAAATGTATTTGATGTGTTGACTAAATTAAAGAAACCCGTTGTCGATGATGATGTTGATTGAGAAAGGTGTAGTGTCAGACTTTTGAGAAAGAGTTGTGAACATTTCATCACACTTCCGTTTTATTCCATAAAAGGTGCGACCACCACCTTCCACATGGGTGTGCACAAGCAGGAGCAGCGGCCGCTGGACTTGTTCCTGCTGTTGGACCTGTCTGCTACTATGAAGAAGGATCTGGCCAACATACAGAACCTGGTGTACTACCTCCGTATGTATCACTGTTCTAGATGAGTGGGTGGGTGGGTCTGTACTGGTGTTCTGGGTTTGTACATCTGGCAATAGACTTGTTCCTTGGGTGATTTCATAGTATCACGTAAGGCGTGGTCCTACCATTTTTCCTACATGATATTCAGCGAGGGTTTGGTAGCTACTGTATGTACTCGTACTACTATGTTACAAGGTAGTTGAATTTTGTACAACACATTTGCGATCATCAAAAGAGTGATTTGGTGTCGTGAACCTGTCTTGCTACGAATGAGACAGAGCTCTAGGTGGCATCGCCATTTTATACTTTTCTGTATTCATACCCGATTATTTGTAATATTGTTTATTGTTTTTTTTATCTCAATCCTAGGAACGACCATGTCTAAGGCTGCTCCTGACGTGCGCATCGGCGTCGGAACCATTCGACAACTGCATGACATGGGGTGAGCGAAGATCGTATGTTAGACGGACCAATGGATCTGTATTTGTTATCGTTGCTTTATTTGAATCGCAAAACAGCACAGGATACTATCGGATACAGCCACAGCGTTGTATCGTCATGGTGGATTTTATATCGTAGTCCTTTTACATCAAGATCATTGTGACACAGACAAGCATTTGGTAGATACTTTCATGCGAAAGAAAGAAAGAACAATAAATGAAGCATTTGGACTTGGATAAGCTGATTATCAAGCAAACTACCAATACTAAGTTCAAGTTTCTCTCCTTCCTACAGCTATTTAGTCATCTTCGTTTCTCGGTGGCTTCTTGCAATTGCGTCTCCTGCTTTCAGCGTTAGCGTACCAAGAAATGCTGCCGTACATGTGGATGTTGCTTATGAGTTAGACAGCTTGCCCCTCCCCTGGCTTCAATAGCAGTAACAGTCGATGGCACATGTTTTGTTTTAAGGGCTATTTCATTTAAACCGTTTAGGAATGTAGATGAAACGTTTAGAAAATAAATTGATTTATCCATGTAGGTTCCTGGGAGGTTTAAACTTTGAACTTGTTTTTCGAAGTGCCCATGGGTATAAGGGTACGAGTGTGGCGCCCGAAACTTCGATTGCATGTTATGGAAAAGCCCTGAAAGTTTTGTATCTCCCATACTGTAGAGCTGCACGAGGCAGCAGCGCCTCCGTGCGTCTGTCTACGGTACTGTCCAGGTACCGTCCGTCCGTGTCGGCCCTCAGCCCCGTGTGGGATCCCAACCCTCTCCGTCGTCCTGATGACAAACACATTACACACTTACCGTTGGAGAGGTATTTCCAACAACACGTGGTAGCAAACTGCGCTGTGTAGTTCTACTTCTATTAGGCAAAATCTGCTCGCTTTAGGAGTAGCAAAATCCGGACGGATTCCCACCCTTGCCAGCAATAATATACATGGCGCCAAACATAGACTGTTCGGTACTATGGCAATAAGTCATTTCACAGTTCCAAGTGCGCATGTTAAGTCGTGTCTAGGCCAAAGTCTTGAATTTTGACCAAGGTTTAGAACTATGAGATGACTTATTGCGTGATTGTAAATTCCCACGTCACTCACGGCCACAACAAGCTTCGCTTTCCAAATTTTTGTTTGACATTCTAAATTGCGAAGTAGTGAGAAGAAAGCTAGAAACACGCGCTTTTTAAAAAGCTGATTGGCTTATTTTCCAACTGTTCCGGTAGAAATCTTTTCCTTTCCATAATACTGCTTTGTGTCGTGTTCAGATGAAAACAGCACTGCCGATTAAAAAATTCGAAAAAATGAGGAATGCACTATCAAAATCACTTGAACCAATCGTACAAAGATGTCAGATCGTACAAAGATCTAGTACTCTCTCCGTACTGTACAACACATAAAAAGTGTGGTCCTTGTTATTGTGACAATATTTCGATGTTAGAACCTTGTTTTGTGCTCCCCGCAGCTACCAGAGTTCCCGCCCCTGTACCGGAGCGAAGTGCCGCCAGCCGTTCGGCTTCCACGCCGCCCTGCCCCTCACCAACCAGTTCAACCTGCTGGAGTTCTTCCTGCGCCGCCTCACCGTATCGGAAGGGGTCGCTAGACCCGAGGAAGGGTTTGACGCCATGTTGCAATCGGCAGCATGCACGGTGAGGAGATCAAGGAGATACATCTTTTCCTTTGCTGGAACAGAGTCTAGCATTAGATTGCTCATAAAAGCAAGAACAATGCAATCAGAGATAGCCAACTTCACACCTTGGCGTCAACCACTCTCAGAACATACAAAACCACAGTGCAGAAACTTAGACAGATACAGACACACACACACACACACACACACACACACACACACACACACACACTGTAAAAATAATTCAGACAGCATTGCAATTTGTAAGTACTAAGTATCGATAACATTTATGGTTGTTTTACCTGATCAATATATGCTGCATAGCTATTAGATTGAACTGTTCTAGTGCAATGTATTTTGATGGTTATTACTTCCTCAAAACTTTTGAGGTGACTTGCCCTGTTGTCTGACTCAACAGAAAAAGGTAGGCTGGCGCCACAACTCGCTGCGCATGCTGGTGTACGTGACAGACACGCCCGTGCAGTACGTGGGAGACGCCCGGCTGGGAGACTACATCCTGCCCAACGACGGGACCTGCCAACTGGACGCCAGGGGGGTGTTCGTCAAAAACGCGCTCCAGGTATAGCCCCCTAGCAGTATTTTTCTAGAACTGCAGGGGCGTTGTTGTTTGTGGTTATTTCACGAGTATTATGTCATTGCCTGGAATCTTTCACACTGAGTAGAATTTTAGAGTTTGATGTTTTCGGAGGCAAATCTAGACTTGAAAGTAAATCGGAATGAAAACACTTAGAACTTGTCCTTAACTTACTAAGTTCTTTGCAACTGCACGGATTTTCTACTGCATGAAGAAAGCATGCAATTAACATGCATGATGCAGCATTCTCCCGTGCGTTGTACTACTATTGCTGCGCTCGCTTCTGCAAATACCCAGTCTTGCCATTCCTACTTTGCACTGGACCTGCCACATACGAAGTAGTCCCGGTCACACAACAGACTAAACATCGTACAGAAAAAACTCTGAACGTGACCTAGTGCATTACGTGCCTAACATGCTTGCAGCCGCACGATCTATATGAGCATCTGCTTAAACTTGATATTCACAATATTCTATATACCTTGTGCTTGAATCTGCAGTTTTGCGCCCAACCATATATAACTGCACAATATCAAGAAGCCAGTAAATATGGTGTAATCTAAAGATGATTCCATTTTTCATGGGGCGCTATCAACCGAATCATAATTTCAAATGGGTACTAATATATATTAGCATAATACATTTGGTGCTATCATCCTCTTATGCCAAGTCCGGCCACCGCTTGTACATGTCGAAGAACGGCCCTGGCATGCCGGCCCGGTCAGTTAGCGCTGACCATGCCGTCAGCCAATGATACACTCCCTCTCTTGTTTTTGGAGGGCAGGCTACCAGCCAATCACGCTGCCTTTTGGTCGTGGGCGGCTGCGTGATTGGCTGATGACGGGTTGCCAGTGCTGACGTACGCAGTAACAAGGACGGATCGCGAGCTGGTAGGCCTGGGCCCTTGCTTGATACATACAGTACAAGCGGCGGTCCTGGAGTAAGAGGACGGGTGCAGTTTGCGTTAATGCTTGATTTGCTGAATGCCAACACTTGCTGCTGTAGTTTTTACCCATGCCTCTTCCCTCTTTGCCGCTTGTATCGTGTCTACAGTCAACAGGCTATGGTTGGAGTCCGACTCCGTATCAAATAGTAAGTCCGTGACTTCTATAGTGACAAGCGTCGACAGTAACGAATACTGTAAGATGTATACGTGACATGCGACTTATTTCAGTTCGACGTATCTCATTGTATCTATTCTTAGCTCTGATTGATATGCAATGGAGCCTTCTTTTATTGTTTTTACCTGCACATAATTCCTTATTCTATTATATGTAGATAGAATCACCAGAAAACGCATAACTTTCTAATAAAATGCTGGTTTCAACGATTCATTTTATGTTAACGTTATTCAACACAATGATTTACTGAGACCAAAATATGGTTTAGATACATAACGTAATATTCAGAACCACTTCTGAAGTTTCAAAGGACGGTACGTATGGTCTAGATTATTTCTATATATCCTTTTGTTCCTAGCTGAAAAAACGGTCTTGGAGCTACCTTTAACTATTGTTTTTCGATCACTTTCCCACAGGATTATCCTTCCATCGGACTTCTGAAGACCAAGTTCTACGACAACAGCATCGTCCCGATTTTCCTGGTACCCAAGAGACAAGTGAAGGAATACAAGGTATGTCAAATAGATGCAATATTGCAGCCAAGTGCGGTCCTGGGCCACAGATTGACAATGGCTACTTCTTGGTACTGTATTTCTATCTCCGTCAGGTATACCCGTGCATTGGATGAACCCAATAGCACGTAGTTCGTGGTACAGCAGAGGTTCTTTGACTTCAGTTTATGTAGCCGCTAGTTTCAACCTCACACTTCGATTTGTTCTAAGAAAATAAAGTGAAACATCGCGTAATCAAGTACTTACGTATAATATACATTATACATTATAATTTTCGTTTCACGCTGTTTCCTCTCCATTGTCAGAACCTCGCCAGCGCTCTGGATGGTCAGTTGGGGATCATGGAGGACAGCTCAAGGAACCTGGTCAAGATGGTCAAATCTGCGTATGAGGTAATGTTATCGTCTTGTTGTCTGTAAAACAATGGTTGTAACGGGCGATGGGGATTCTAGTGATGGATACAAATATCGGGCGGGTTGGTCAACGGATCTTCAGGGCATATTTCACACACGGTACCTTGTAACTTTACCTGTCCTACCTGTTTATTTCCGTCAGCATGCCCGATCAGAAGTGACCCTGCAGACCATGGACGTCCCTCCAGATGTGGACGTGAAGGTGACGGCCGCCTGTAAGGGAGATCTCAAGTACGAAGATAAGGACAGCTGTGCAGCCGGGGACAAGGTGAGTTACAGACCTAGCAGATAGGAAAGATAAACAAAAGGTACGGACAGCAACAGTATAGAAACAGTGGAGCTAAAGCTGTCCCATCGTTGTTGATGTCACGAAGATCTGGCATCTTTTGGTTATTGTATTCACCCTAAACGCTTAAATTTAGAATGTGACGACAGATAACAAAATGTTATTTCGGTACAGAAGGAGTAGGAGAATGATACATTAATGTATTGGCAATATCTGAAAAAAGAAAACGAAATGGTCTTTGACCTTGTAATAGTTTAATAACAACATTTGAGGCTGTTTATGATTTTAAAGAGTTCATCTTACAAGGTTTTATCAAAGTGACGCTGTTGTTGCTCATTGAAGGTGAAGTTTAACGTCCACGTGACGTTGGAGGACTGCCCGGCGGAGGACCAGGACTACTTCAAGATCAAGCCGGTCGGCATGCACCACGAGAAGACAGTGGTTCTGGACTACACCTGCAGGCCTAAAGTTGTCAAACCGAAGCCTTCCTTTGACGATTTGGATCTTACTGGGGTATGATATGGCTACATATATTTGCATATCTATTTGAGTTAAGTTTATTTGGGACTTCTTAAGAAATCATAGAGCTGTCTGATTGAGCATTAAGTAGACTGCAACAGTGAGGTGAGACTTTTCTGCAAACATGACAAAGTTGTGCATTGAATATTTGCACGTGTCGTCACAACCGCCATATTGGTTGGTTAAACTAAAAAGACTCAGACCCACACATTTGCAGGTGTATAACTAAGTACTACTTGATAATTACCCATACGTTACAGTATTTCAATTCAAATTTACCTGGTAATGCCAAAGTGCTGGTAGACAATATTCATGTTATACTTATAGTCGCGTGAGTCAAAACTCTAGATATCTACTGTGGTTAGCAATGAAAACCTACAGTTTCTTTCATCATCACTGTAAACCTCTTTCCGTTTTCACAGTTCCAAGGACAGGACGCGGAACTTGCTGTGGATAGCGACCCGTGTTCAGCCAAGTTTGACGACATCACTGATGTAATCACTGGTAAGGTACCAGAGAACGGTAAGGCACCTTTAGTTTAACCGTATAGCGGCCGCTTCACACGGTCTCCGCTAGATGGCGTTGTTGGCGTCGCTTCCATTGCGTATCAACAGCGCCACCTAGCTGACTGGTGCGAACTGCTGCTTCTGCAGGCTGGCTTTAGCGACGCTGCTGCACTTCTAAGGTGAGTGTTGTTTGGTCGCTGGAGAGAGCGACAGCACTTCAGGACCAATCGGAAGAAAGTCAAGTAAAATGAAAATATATCTGGAATGAAAGGGTAAAATGCTGACCGAAGAATTGAAGTCAAACAATGACAAAAACAACAAAAACGACATCAAAAGTTCCAACAAACTCACTAGCTTTGCAACTTAAGTATGATGCTTTTACGGACACAACTGTCCAAGACAACAAAACTTGTGACAACAAGACGGCAAAAAAGAAAGCGTTCCCACGAGGCTGCAGAATACATGTATATGGCTTCATGTGAATTCAAAATTCATTCAGACGTCAAAGCGCACCCTCCCTCAGCAGCTTCGTTGCAAGCTTTATCTACTGGCCTTTTCCTTTGAACCGTTTCCAATTTTCCCCTGGTTTGATCTGCACCTTTGCTATTTTCCTTTTCCCCTGATTTTTTCTGTGTCTTTGTGGATGTAGACATATAAGCCATATTGTGGCATCAACAACTACTATACGACAAGACATAAAGTTTTACATGACGTCTACATATCTTAGTATGTCTTTTAGTCATTACATGATCTCTGGTATGTGTTCACTATGATGATGATGTGTTCACTATGTTTGTATTCCATGAAGGAGAGACTTAAAAGTATATTCCATTGTAAAGGCGCGGTCACATTCGTCGAGGGTCTCTGTACAGTTTTGATTTTGTCATAGAGCAGGCTATGACAGAACCAAATGCTGAGATGGGTCTAAAGAAGCTCTTTCCATATTAAACAGGACAGCGCCATTTTGTGTTTTACACGCATGATTCTCCCAAGAATGCACTTCAGATTGTAATTGGGTGACAACTGCACGACAAATGTGACCATGAAAAAGAATCATGTATTTATATATATTCGTGTCCATTCGTGTTTTGAAATTCATTCTGAGAGTAGCTCTGTATGTAGTCATATGAAATTTATTTGAGTTTTTGTGTGTTGTAACGTTGACCGTTTGTCCCTGCCGTACAGGTGATGCTGTCGTCGGAGACGTAGCGTACGCCTTCAGCGGCAGCTACCTGTGGAAGATGGGAGCAAACGGCACAGAAGACCCGGTCAAAGTGGACGAAATGTTCGATGGACTGACCGAGGGGATCGACTCTGCCTTCACGTCACGATGGACCCGGATGATGTACTTCATGAAAGGTCATAAAGCAATAAAATTATGGGAAGAATATGATGTGTTCTAAAGAATGTAGAGTTCTTTCAATATACATGTATACAGCCTTGAATATACAGCTTTGAAAATATCTACTTAACCAACGTTTTGGTGACTCCTCAATCACATTCCTCATAGCCAGAATGGACTCTACTACTCCTTGCCGCAGGGTGGCATTGTGCCAAAGTTGCTCTCGTAAATGTTTATTGCCCAACTATGAAACAAATGAATTGTGAAGAATCTTTCACACCAATTTGTAGTTTTCTGGTAGTATTAGTGTTGACATCTTCCACTACTGAAATGAATAACATGATCATCCATGAATGCCCATGCAGGAAGTCAAATTTGGCGGTACACCCAACTGCACACCGGAGAAATAGATCTGGACAACGGCTTCCCTCGTAACGTCAACACCACGGGCATCCCAACCAACCCTGACGCCTCTCTGGCCCGGGCGTACCAAATCTTCTTCTTCAAGGGCAACAAGTACTGGCTGTGGAACGAGTTCAGCGGCCGTACTGCTCATGGATACCCGCAAAAAATAAAGGTATGGGAAGAAGTATATAAGTATGCTCATATATAAATATGTGGAAAGATGACGATGCAAAAAGTACTAGTATACATGTATTTGAGGGCTACCAGTGCAGGTACCATTCAAATCAACTAATCTCAAAGTCGATCTTTCGATAGCGAATACGTATACGTAAACTGCCCTGGCTACCAAAAGATCTGCTTAGAGATTTATAACTTTACTAGATGAATTTGTTTATTTTCTTTCCCATTTTGCTAATTTTTCTGGGTTGCTTGGAACATCTACTGACAATGGCTTCAAGATGTTTGAAAACGTTTGAACTATTGATTCACTGATATTCAAATACATGTAGCTGAGTCTGCCGCCATGTTGGTGTCCCTATGATTTCACATGAAAAACTCCCTATCTATCCTCACAGGTGTCCTGGCCGGGCGTTCCTGACGGTATCCAGGCGGCCTTCCACGGCGCCGACGGAATGATCTACTTCTTCAAGGACGACAAGTACTACATGATGGACCAACACCTGCTGGAGAAGGCCAAGGAGGAGTCTCGCGAGAACCCGCGACCATGGATGGGCTGTAAATAAACTGTACCATGTGCTGCAGACAGGGTCGTAACCCCACAGGACAGTGGGGCAGTCAGACACACTTCTACTATACTATACTGTACCATCGATTAGGCCATAGCAAAACAACACAAGCTTCTGTAATACAACATTCAGTACATAACTGCAAACAGCAAAGCAAATTGCTTAGTGCAAATATGCTTGAAACATGAACTACACTAGTGAATCTTCAAGTTGCAAAAAGACATCAGCTGTACTCATAAGATGGAAGTAAGAGCATGTTCCTTGTTGGTAAAGATAAAGCCAACAGACAATAAAAACACAATCGTATGGTTTAGAAATGTGAAAATAGCACAGTTGAATGTCCTTTTATGGAAGAGAAAAGGTATATTTGACACATCAAAGTCAGAAGTGTTCTACATTGTAAGGTCTAAGCTGGCTACTTGCCTAGTATATACTGAACAACTTACCAACAAAAAATCTTAATATGGATAAGGTCGGCGCAAGTTAAAACAAGAATGGGGCTAAAATCCATATTAGTAACGCAAGCTGGAATTTGCATACTTGTGTATTATTCCTGGAAACCATTACTATATTTCTGATTTAATACATCAGTATAGTATACATTATTATATATAGACTGTGAGTTTAAGTTTGTTAACGTGAGACACAAATATCAAGAATGGTGCTAGTTCTATTCAGAAGATACATCGAATACTCTCATAGAGTTTAACGCTGACTAATGTTCAACACATTGTGTTTAATACACTCGCACTGTCTCTGACAAGTAACTTGCAAACTATATAGTCACTACTTAAAGGACTATGAAAATTGCTAGGTGAAAGGAGCCTAATGTATCATTTAGCGTTCATTTTTAAAAAGAGGAATATGTGCGATCTGTATTGTTGTACAATTATTTACATTTTCTTTTGATATTATGAATATGCAAGAGTGTGCTTCATCCAAGGGTGATAGTATGACAACACATTGTTGCTTGTATCTTTGACATGGCGCCTAACACTTTTATTAGAACTAGGCTACTTTAGAAAGTTTTGTTGTTTAAGATTAGGTATATTGCAAATGTATAGTTTCTAGCACGCTTATCAAATAATGAAGATGTACTACTGATTGTATAAGCCGGTTCACGGTTTGACTTGCGCATGTGCAATGTGATGCATTGTGGGTAATATGTCAAAGTTGAAGGTCATTTAAACAAAACATATCTGGACATGTATCATGCATGGTCAGGACAACTGTTTACAAGTTAGGGGCATTCGCCTTTGACCTTGCTCAAGTGTGGTTTAAACCGTAAACCGGTTAATTCCAGATAGTACAGTACTCTTGCAACTGTGCTTGGGGGAAGTAGGGCTAGATTTGGGCTTGGGATTTTGTGAATCATTGTGGTAAGTAGTTCTAGACTACTGTGTGGAGTGGAAAGCCAGCATCAGTGCAGGGCAGACTTCGGCAAAATGGCCAGTTTTGTTGTGGATTATTTGTAACGTTGTTCACAAATATGAATTTTGTGTATTTCTCTATTTTTTCAATTGGCAATGATAGTACCATAAGAAATCAGATAGCCTTTCAGGCACTGAAAAGAGAGAAAATACTTCTTTGAGACTATCACTAACACATGTTGAGTATACCAATGTGAAAGGACATACGTTTTTTCTATACTTTGGTTTTGGAACATATTTTTGTTTTTAGCAAAAATAGCTGCGCATTATTGTCAAGTACCTTTGTTAATGTACCTTTGTTAATAAATCTGCTTCCCATTTTCTTGTGTGTATTTCTATATAAAAGGTTGCCAACTTTCTATGCAAAATGCGTGGGTCAACTGAAACCAACAAGTTTCTTTACCTCACTGTAAGTCTTCTCTGCAAAGTCTCTTGCCTTTCTTGCACCGTCTCTTAAAACATCATCTAAGAAGCTTCTGTCTTTCTGAAGTCTCAGGATTTCTGTTCTTATTGGGTCCAGCTTGGTGATCACAGCATCTGCTACGACAAACTTGTACTTGGCTGTCTCTATCCCTTCATTCTGTTGACAGATCTCTTCGTATGACAAACCTGTACAGGCGGAGTGTATTCTGACAAGATTGGAGACACCGGGTCTTGTATCAGGGTCATAGGTTACAGCGGAGGTGAAGTCTGTTACAGCTTTCTTCAGTTTCTCACGGATGACCTCCGGTGAATCCGTCAGGTCGATGCGACTTTTGGGGTCAGCTTCAGACTTGCTCATCTTGCTGTCTGGTTTTCGCAAGCTCTGAACCTTCTTAGTGTCACCTGCAACAAAGCAAACATCACTTTGAAACACGCTGAAATCATAAATGCCAGGCTTTCTTAACAGCTGTCAAACAAACTTACACTTTTGATGATCACAAATGATGGCCCATGGAACCTCTGACCTTGATATACTTACTGTTTGCTATTATTGCAACCCATACTAGTATTAAAGGCCCTATTTTTGCCACCAAACTGGTGATATTTTAAGATTTTTTTCATCTACAACAATTTCACAAGCAAACATAAACAGGCACACAAAAAACAAGACCTCCATACAAGAAGATAACGAGTCAGATGTCAGCAAACATACCCAGTATAGCTGTAGGTTGTGGGAAGTACTGTCCATAGTGGTAGTTAAATGTAGTGGCCAAGTCCTGAGCCAACTGTAGATGTTGTACTTGGTCCACTCCTATTGGAACATGGGTGGCTCTGAAAGAAAGTTAACAAAATATTGTACATTACAAGAGACAAATTTTTCTTACACTTATATGCAATCCATCAATTCATTTTAATGGTAATGTAATATGGGTGTAATTTCCCATCCTCATGACATTATATGCTGACAAACATAGCATAAATCTTGCAACCTATTCAGGAAAGAGCTATTTAGTGCAGATGTTCCAAACTGACTTGTAGAGTAGAATGTCTGCTGCCTGTAGAATGGGGTAGGTGAAAAGGCCGACACCACCCTCCTCTTTGGGACCCGACTTTACCTGAAAAATATCACAAGGATACAGACTGATGGTCGAGGAATTATGAATTTATGCAACAAATATAACACAATTTACAGTAAATATATATATGTATATATATATATATATATAGCAAAGGAAAAAAAGTAATCATTTCATTTTCTTAATCTTTCCTCTGTCGAGATGGCTTCTTTGTTCCAAATTTTGACTGGTTACGTGGTTTGGCAGCTAGGATAGGGTTAAAATCAAATGATGTATGAAAAGTGTTGTAAGACTGACCTTCCACTGTGGCAGGTGTTTCAGTCTGGCCATGGTTGCCTTACAGCCAAGAACCCAGGCTAGCTCGGCATGCTGGGATACCTGCCCAAATATGGTACGACTAAATGGTAAATTTGCATAGACATAGACTCAGTCCTATATGTAAATCAGACTCTATTCCTAATTACCTTTGCAGGAAATATAGTATTTAAACTACAGATTTGTACAAATACTGAATACTGTTTAAATGTACATAATTGTCATTTCAAGCAACATTTGATTGTATTGTTAGAGATGTACAAAATGCAGCATCAGAAATACTTCACTATATATTATTCATGAAAAGGCCTTCATAACTGTAGGGGGGCCTGCATGCCCTTTTCCGTAGAGCGTAATCGGCCGTTTCAATTCCACCAAGGAGGTTAAATACGTAGAGCGTAGACGGACCACTCTAATTCAACGTAGAGCGCAATTGGCGCACTTTGCGTAGAGCATATTCGCCGTTTCAATTCAACGTAATGCGTTGTAGCCACTTGGAATTTATCGCAAAGCGTAATCAAAAGTTTCCGAATTCAGCGTAGAGCGTTGTCGGGACCCCCCCCATGCAGGCCCTTGTAGTTTACAGCAGGATTCTAGCCAGATTTAATTTTTTTCCGTCATCCTACATGGAACATCATAGCATTCATTCATCACCCACACTGGGCTACAGTCATGACATCAATACCCACACTTGACTGTTGAAATAAGATGCTCTTGTCAGGGTCTATACCACAGGCCAGCAGACATGCCGTCATGTCATAAATGTTCTGTCTCAGTTGGTCTGGATCCTGGAGCAGGAAGAGTGATGATATCAATGACATAAAACAAAGTAGTCACAGCATAAAAAGTGCAATAATTATGTCAGGTGCCTATGCATTTTTAACAATTTTAGAAAATATGTAACACTTTACAAAAACACATGAACAGATATCACATACTGCTTTGTGTGTGTTTCATAAAACTTGTATGTCATTCATACCAAAGCTTGGGAGCCCCTGATTATGATTCACACAGATCCATCATGTTTATATGGTTTATGACAGTGGCACAACACTGCACAGAAAAATATTAAAACTAGAAAGGCAACATTTGCAATGCACAGCAAATGCATAATGTTTCCCTTCACATATGATCTGCTCTGTTAAATCTGACTCAAAACACATTCATACATATGGTGACAGGAGTCTAAATTCCTCCTACTATGAAATTGCAACATGATGTAACCCAACACCAGTTACCATGGTGACAGATGTCTGGTTCAGGTCATTGACCTTATTGGTTTGGAGAAGAAAATGAAGAATAGCCTGGGTACCATCCTATTTGTATGCCGGGGCTCCCACACTCCCCCCTAAGAAATATTGTTTAGTGGGGAGTATGGGAGCCCCGGCATACAAATTGGATGGTACCCAGGCTAAAAGAAGAAGAGGAAACAGAAAAAAAAAACAGTTAACATAAAAAGTCCCACAATGGCATATACAGAAGGAATGTGCCCGAGACTGAGTAGTTACCTGTGGAACAGTGATGGAGTGCATGTCCACGATGCTGTAGATAACGTGGTGCCCCTCCCCCTGCAGCTCAACCCACTGTTGGAGCGCTCCCAGGTAGTTCCCGATGTGGGGAATCCCTGTCGGCTGGATACCTGAGAATATCTTCTTGGGACTCTCATCCTATAAGGATTTACAAAGATACTGGTGACTCAAAGTGGAATTGTCCGTGGCCCGTATTTAAAGACTGAACCGCCAGCATAAAAACAACAAAAACATACCAACTTCGTATGCATATGAACAACAAAGTCGTGGCCGGTTCTTGGCCATTTCTCTATCCCACAAGTACCTTCAACCTCACAATCTTCGCAACTATGTCTCTTACCTTTGGAGTTGACACTGTAGAATTATTGCAGCGTATAACGTGGCGGTGAAGTCGTGAGGAAGAAAGACTGCACACGCGAGAAAAACATTTCATGGGCAGCGCCATTTTGGATTTGGACTAGTCCACTCATGTATAGGGGTATAGACGTTCAATGGGACGGTTCGCATTTTTGCACTGCCGATATATTCCGCCTTGTGGCGCTATTTATCCCTTAATGCTTAGTCTCTACCAGACTTTAATGATGGGTTGCTAGAAAATAGTAGAAATTGGCCAAATACTAAACAGAAGAGTTAGCCGGCAATATAAATACACGTGGCCACCGCTCAAGGCAGAATATTGCCTGCCACATTGACAGTTCGTATCTCCTAGGCCACTGGAACCAAGGTCTTGGAATCGGTATTGAACATTTTGGACTTGTTTGAATGGATGGAGCTGGTAAGGTACTGTATAAACAAACCTGATCATGCAGGCATTGCACTGCAGACAAAAGCGAAACAAGTGTAGCTATTATATGTATATATAAACTACAATCTGATAATGATACGAACGGGATTTGGAAGTAACGAAATGAACTTATCAATAAATTTACGTTTGAATGAGTATATACAATTACACAACTTATAAAGAAGCAACAGACCTTCATCCAAATGCATATTCTTTATTAGCTTCTAGTAATATAACGGCCCTTTAATTAATTTGCACAGATATTTTGATAAATTTCCCCATATTACATTCATTAGTTTAATTACCTCTTATAGGAAATAACGCAGCTTTGAATTCTCAGTTCAAACTGATCAAGTTTCCATATCGGAGTGAAGCCCACTACGTACTAGAAACCATAGATTAGTTCCATGCTTGTAACATGTCGTTTATACTTTCTACATATGTAGCTTCTAATCTCTGATGTATAAAACGTACTAAATATATCCCACTGTATATGTAAGAATGTATTGCAAGTATACATGTATGCATGTAGTATACAGCTAGCAGTCCTTTCAACTGAGAACTTGAAACACATCCTTTTCCCTATAATCTAACTCCTAACGCAAAATTAGGTGAAACCGAAAGTAAAGTAGTCTATCATTAGTGCTGGTAAATACTAAACAAGACTTTTGAAAAAAGTTTATCTCGGCCGCTGGCCATGTAGTTTTGTGTTCTTTGAGGATGTCCACATAGATTTGTGTAACTGCTAGAGAGGAAAGAATGTATTACCTAGTATGTTCATACCTGTAACACCAAACAGGGTAATAAGTTGGCTTCCATTATCATTTGCTTCAATGGAATTAGTGAAAAATATTAATCTCGAAGCAGATGTTGGGAGGGAAAATGTTTAGGTAGAGATACAGATTTTCATTTGTGATTGAAGATTTGAGAGACAGGAAAGAGTTTAGGATATGTATGTGGAGCTAATTTCTCTGTTAGAGTAGGTTACACAGCTCTATGTATGGGGAAGACATTTTTTGGAATCAGTAGTGTCATGTTGTATATTACAGAGGAACTATGTTTCATCTGTATGTTTCATTGAAATTGTAATGTCTGGACAATACTGATGAATAAAGAGCAAAGATGCATGTGTCAAAAGTGAAATGTTTTATTTTGGTATAACTTCATGAGACAACACAAAATGGAGTGGCTACAATAACAGAGCTGTCAAACGTTATCAAGCTTAATGCACTAACATATTGTTAGGTTGTACGAATTCATAAATTTGGACGGGGGGGGGAGGGGGGCGATAACGTAACTCTGTTTAAATCTGTTCAACAGCACGAATAAAACACAATGTAATTGATTGCCCTTGCCCGTAGTATCTTTAGCTCCATTTCTATCCTATGGCTCTATGCCTAATACCCTTATAATTCCTGTATATTTTGCTATTTTTGCTAAGTAAATACCTAAGCAGCCTCATGCGTTACATCCGGGATCTTCGATATGGGAAATTCCATTCAGGCCACTAATCAAAAGCGACATCTTGCGACCGAGGAATATAGTGCACTTCCATAACCTTCGTCTTGACTTATTCAGATGTCTCAAGGTAATATTAAAACGTAATTTTTTAAACTTGGTTTATTGGTGCAATTGCAGCAGTTATTACCAAATCTTTATAACATTTAATGCATGCTACTCTCATGTCCCTAATAAACATACCCCCCGGAATAAACATACCCCCCGGACAAATCTTCAAAGTCTAATATACATACCCTCCGGAATAAACGTACCCCCCGGAAAATGACCAAATTGACAGGTGAACGGTACTAAAATGTGCTCTTTATTTCAATACCAATGTATGGGCAAATCTTTCACTGTTACTTTTGATTAGGAATATAAATATACTGTACTAGTACTCAACAAACAGTGTCGACATTACAGCCATATTACACCACTAGCAATAGGGGTGGGTACCTGTTCGGCTCTTCCAGGTCCAGAGGATCAGGTCCAGGTCCGGACCTGTACCTGTACCTGATTCTGAATACCGGAGTTTCAGTACCGAATTTTTTGCTAAATGATCATTGCTAAATACAATATAACGTTAAGTATATGTAACCACTACAATAATTTTCATTTTATTTTATTTTTATTTTATTTATTTTATTTATTTTCATTTTATTTTTTATTCTGTTTTATTTTATTTCATTTAATTTTATTCTATTTTATCCGTTCTATGCATTATCAAACTTCTCCTCTACTGCTAGAGCTACTAAAACTTCAGACCGAATATATTAAACATTTTAATTCGCCCCCTCTAGCGGTTTGGGCCAAATTGCAGCTTTCCAAAAAAATCCAAGATGGCGGCGGCAGATCGGCGCGGCTCGGCGATATTTGCCGATTTCATTGTATTTTCCTTGGTCTTTTACGCGATTCAAGCAAAGAAACAAGTTGACCACAAGAACAAAAGAGTAATACAGCACTGGGAATCTAATGGTCCGTTTTGTTGGGCGGTAATTTCTCATTTCAAGTGAATATTTACGTGCGTCACAGTGATTTATTCACCAATCAAAAGCGACATCTTGCGACTTAAGCAAATATGGAAGGTTAATGTACATAATTTATGTCATTGATTTATTGGTCCAATTACCGCAGCTATTAGCGAAATTCTAGAACCTTAAATGCATACTATGATATTAAACAATGGTTTTGTGGTAAACAGCATTTCCTCTTTTTTAGCAACTTCGTTGTATAAGAATAACGACACTATCATCCGGTAGCTCGACCCCACAAAGTAAAGTATACACGCAGAGTAATTGGTTTCTATTGGTTTTTTTTTTTCACGGTCGAAATCAAGATTTTAACATTCAACGTACATATTTTGGAGCACAATACCTCGGCCGCTCAGGCGGCCGAGATAAAAAGTAGATACTGAATGAGCAAAAGAAAACAAAAACGCAGACATGCGCAAGACTTCATGATACACTTCCTGCAGGTCACCAAATTCACTTCCGGCAGGTCATCACCACCTTATATGGATAGGGGGTGTTTTGGACGCCTCCGCCCTTCTTATCAGGGGCGAGGTCAGGAGGCCCCTCCCCCTCCGGGATGGTGAAGCGGAAGTTCTGGACCAGTCCCCCCAGCAGGAGGAAGGTGTCTGCTTTCCCCACAGCTTCCCCTGGACAAGCACGGCGACCGGCACTGATAATGAGAAAGAGGATGATTACTTCTGGGCACAGTTGAAGTATTGTTTTGAGTGACTGTGCGTGTGAGTTTGTGTGTTTCTTGTCCGGACAGAGTAGGTTCACAGGGAGGAAAGGGGGTGGGGGGTGGTAGGGATGAGTGATGGGCAACATGGCAAGAGGTCAAATTTGGAGCAGAGAAAAATGAGCTTTAGTCTGGCTGGGATAGTGGGCGCTAGCGGGAACTTTGTGTTATAAGTAGTCCTTGAAAAGAATTCGGTTGTTACGTTTTCTGTAGAATTTAAAGGGTTATTTCCTTGACTTTGAACCTACCCGAAGGGCATTAGAGCCGGGGGTTTGGGTATCGGTTTCCCACTCTCATCCAAGAAGCGTTCCGGGCGGAAGACGTCAGGATCTCCCCACGTGTCCGGGTCGTAGTGCAGGGCCCACAGGTTAGGCATGATCCACGTGCCCTTGGGAATCCGGTAACCTCCTGAGGGTGGGGAGGTCCATATGATATGAGGATATGACATAATATGAGGATGCAATATGTGGATTCAAGAAAGGAGACTTTCAGTAAACCAAAGGAAAATGTTACTAAGGGTATCGATAGTTGAAATGTCATGGCGCCACGAAATGGCATTTTACACGTTAAGAACTGAAGTTAACTAGTTCAAAAAAAGCTGTAAGTTAGGAGGTACAAACATTTCTCGAGTTCAAGAGCTACACGGCACCCCAAAATCATGACCATAACAGGTCCGTAACAAAGATACAAACATTCACTAGGGAATGCATTATATTGATTCTTTATTGACACAACAAAAAAGTACAGAGACTTTTGTATGGTCTTCTACAACTTAACTAAAGATCTAACAAAGCTAAATACATGTGTGGATAACGTCATCTTACGTACAGAGTATATGTATGATGTAACAATAAAGTTAACTATTCTCTAACATGTGGTCTCTAAGATCGATATAGTATACGTGGATTTCATCTCAGACCAAGCTTTAAGGCTTCGCCATGATGCCATGAGTGAAAAGAAGGGTACTTACTCAGCGTAGTGTCCACAGTTGTAGTATGTGGCAAAGCTAAAGGAGCGATGGTTCCCATCCTCATCACCTCATGGATGGTTGCCTCCGTGTACGGAGTAGCCTCGCGGTCGGACAGCTCAGGCAGCCTGTCACGGCCCACCACACTGTCTAACTCAGCAGCCACCTTCTCCTGTATCTCCGGGTGGGCAGCGAGGAACAGGACGGCCCAGCGGAGGGTCAAAATCGTCGTGTCTGTACCCCCTGAGGAGAGACCATGCTTACATTGCACCAGGACGTAGTCTTTTCACATTATGCATAAACATTGAATTCATAAAGTAAAGATTTATTTATACTAGATATGGACTGGTACGTGGAGTATTGATGAGAGTGCATGTCATCATAGAGTTCATAAGACATTTATTGAGGAAAACCAATTGCTTACCCCCGAAGATGTCTGAGATGGTCTGCCTGAGGTGAGTGTCTGTGAGAGAGTTGATGTCCTGGATCCCCTCCTCCTCAGCGTCCTTCTGAGCCTTGATCATGTGATCGGTGATGTCACGGAGGTTGCCTGTAGAAGCGCACATCAACATTCACTTTATACGGAAGGTGTTCTTCATAAATACATGTGAAGCGATGGCCTTAAGCGTCTAGACATCAAACACATACTGCCGCGGTACTTTAGAAAGCCAAAGCGATCTTCCAATCGGTCTCAGCAAAATTAAAGTATTTTTTCAAGAGTTTATTCATTGCTGCGAATTCCTCGCTGTTTCTAAGCAAATATTCCACTACCACTTTTCTCCAAGTCTGTGGTGAGACCATTTTGAGCCCAATACGATCTTCCTGTCAGTCTGCGGGTACACCATCCCAGTCTCATCTCAGTTCAAAATGTATATGTATTTCAAATACCAACGGACACACAGGCAAACAATCAGATTAACAGGACAAGACCTCCGTATGTACACACACGGAGGTAATAAGTTACTACATGTGGGAAATGATGGCCAGCTTAGTGTCGCCTTACTTGGGTCAAATGTTTCCCGGTGCTGGTCCAGGTGATGCTGCATGATGTCCAGGAAAGATCTGGTCATTTTTTCGACGGCAGCTTTGCCTGTATAGAAGGTAAACGCAATGAGTGGCTTTAACTTAAACACAATGGCAACCCTAGCTATTATGTGGTCTATCGATGTTCTTCATTTGTTAACGTTGTAACAGACACATTTACAGATTTGGAACACCCCATCTGCCCGAATGACTTGGCACACAGGACGCTGGTGCCACAAGGTTGATTGATTGATTGACCTCCACATCTTGTCACCGGCGGTGACACAAGCCCAGGATCCAAACATAACTGGACAAACAGACAAACATGCAAACAGACACACAGAGGAGGGGAGGTAAATATGCAGCTACTCACCCGGGGTAGGCAGGAACCCAAGTGAAGGATAGACGTCAGCCAGAAGACCCTGTGCGAATACTTCGGCTCCGTCCTTGCTTACTTTTATCAGAGTGTTGAAATCCTTGTCGTCCATATCATACCTATTACAAATTCATGGACTGTAATTTATACAATTTCAGCATTTTCTTACAAATCACATGTCTCAAAACAAATGTAACACAACGAATAGGACCCTTTTATGATTGAAATACAAATAAATCTGGATATCCACATTTACACGAATTGTTGTCAACGTTGACAGGAATGATGAGATCAAAATTGCCGTGCTGTACTATTACAGTATTATCACGTGCATTTAAAAGCTGAAACTTGTACATGTCGGTGGACCGATACCTTATGCCGAAGGCTGCGGAACAAATGACGTTGTAGACCAGCTTGTAAATGTGGTCTTCAATGTTCACTGCTTGACCCTCCATCTTCGAGAACTCTGCGATGGTCTCCTCTAAAGACTCGTGGACTTTACTTTGCAGGTTATCTCCTAATGCGTAACCCCTAAAGGCAATCAAGCAGCAATTAATGAGATTTTTGGGCCATACGTTTGATACAAGCTGCTACCATCGCATTGTGTTCCCTATATGGAACGATTTCCGTCAACAACTCAATATTGAAATGGCCAAACATCTACTTTGGTATCCATTCCAGGCCATACTAGCCTGTTCTGTCACTTATTCTGAAATTAAACCTACAGCATGTCTACTTTTGCTTCTCCAGGTGAATGTACGTCAAACGAGTGTGGCAAATGGGTAAATATCACGAAAACTAGCCACACATATTGTCTCCACCCTACCTGATGGCGGTGTGAAACAGTTTCCGGTGTAGTTTCCATGTGGGACTGTAGTCGGTGAAGGCTATGTCCTTCCCACCTTCAGTAAAGATGTCCCCTGGAAAAGAATTCCACTTTCGTGAATATGATTTCTGGCTTCTATAACGTATTGCCATACTCTCTCTCTCTCTCTCTGTCACACTCATCACCACGTACTGTCCAGTGTACTTTCTGATATTGATACTGAGACAGTACATACCTGACAACATGGTCGGCCTGCCTGCGAACTCCGCACCCTTCTTAACGAAAGCCTCCCTGACAGCATCCAGACTGTTCAGCACAACCACGTCCGTCATGCCCTGCTTCAGGCTAAACACGTCTCCGTATTTCTTAGCGAGCTCGATGAAGGTGAGGTAGAATTGACCGCCAAACACTGCACAAGAGAAGACACCATACATTTGCTGAGCACCTCAAACACCAACAGGTGCCAGCATCCGAAGTAAAGCAGTCGGGCCCCAGAAGAAATCTTTTTGATCATTTTGAAAATATTTATTAATTAGTCTGGCTGTAAGTGACATTGGATACATTCAGCCAAACAATACAAACCAGAACCAATAAAACAGGTTTTGCGTAAAAATGATCATATTGACCTGTATGTTTTACTGCAGATGCTGCACCTAATGCTGACTTTGGAAGAGAGAATGAGACATAGTCTCACTAAAAATGATGTATACAAATGATATGTATACCTGTACTCATTTGTAGTTAGATATTAGAAGATATGAGATAATGTACTTACAGGTAAGGTTTCCGATGATTGGCCAGAAGAATGGTCCAGGAGGCATCCGCCAGCGTCTGACATAGTCCCTCAACCACGTGACCAAAACCAGGGTCACTAACCCCACAATTATCGTCATCAACCACATCGTCCTATAGGGCATGTGAAAAAAGATATTATTGACCATAAATGTTTATGTTAAGGGAACCCTGCTTCACCCTCGGGGAGACTAGAAATCCCCTCAGTGTGCGGGACTGGAGATATACACAGAAACCTCGCCCCGCCATGATGGGGTAACTATTACATAGTTCTTTAGATTACTAGTTTAGAAACTGTAGCTTGGAACAAGAGGTGATTCCAAGTATTACTACAGTGCAAAGAGACTATTCATGTACTAGTACTCAGTTCCGTTCTGAGGCTGGGTATTCATATGACAATGTAAGACACCATCTGCTATAAGCCTTATATTACGAAACGTCATACACGAAGGGTGAACGTTGGGCCCGTTTGTACAGTCTAGCTATTAACGACAGAGGAATGTAGGACTATGGAGGTCATTTTACCTCCTTGGTAGGACTGAATTGAACCCTCTAAAATTATAGTCAAGAGAAGTCATGGAGTCCCACAGTACCTGCTGCTTCTGAGGGATCAGACACAGTGTTGTACACAGTATGATTTGGAAGTTGTAGAGTGGTCCGGTTTCACGCCGGGGTGACGAGTTGAAGAAAGCTGTTGACGTTCCTAACAGAAAACTACAGCTTCCCCTGGCAAATGGTGAGACCGCCTCAAGCAAACGCCCCAGTGTGGCCGCATTATATAGACCCAGTGGTTCCGACCGATAGGACGTAGCAAGCTTTGTTTGCCGACCTATATAGACCTTTGACATCGTAATCTGTCCACTCGTGCGAGAAATGCCAAATATGGCGAACGACGTCGACCTACAGGCTGAGTTACATATGTACATCACCCCGCCCGCATGTCGTTTCCCGCGTAATATACATGGCAGGCTTGCTCTAATTCAACATTATGTTTTCATTGCCGTTATATTGCATTATGTTTATGGTAGCGTCTATATTCTTGAATGAGCGCACATGTGATCACATGTGGTTTAGCACTGTTACTCAATAACCTTTGATGGATTGTCATGAAACCAAGAGACTGAACCTCCTCGGTAGCAGCAGCGGGCAATGCACGGACACCTGGCACGGACCCAACGTCTCAGTTTACTGGATAATCGCTAACCCAGAAGTAGGAGAAGAATATATATAATATAATCTCTAGCAGATCTGAAAAGAGCAAACATCCCCTGGGAAGAGACAGAGACAACAACTGTAGTTAAGACTCTACAACGGACAAAATGGCGGTGTTTGGCCATAACGTTATAGAAGCAGCGGGGATAGTCGCACTTTTGTATGTCGGATCCAAGGTGTTGTGGGGCGTTTGGCAGACAGCAAGACTCTACTTGTTTTCTGGGCGTCTTGGATCCTTGGACTTGAGAAGTTACGCAGGAAGGTGGGCAGGTAAGAAACGGATATTCGGTACAGAAAAAAGCAGTTACGATGTTTGACCTTTGGTCACCATGAGGGCAGCGTTATGTCAATGGACTGCCACGATTGTTTTGGATCTAGCTACTCCGAAGATTTATTGTCACTTCTCTGTATTTCATTTAGTTGTTACAGGTTCCACCGATATCCACAGCACGAAAACAGATATTTAAGCAAACTTTCCGCAATATGTAAAGAGGTTTTAAAGGTGGATAAATATTTAAGTTGACTTTACGACTTCGTAAAGGTTGCTGAAAGGTAAATTCCGCCTTTCCGTCACCTTTCAGTGGGCTTAAATACGACGTAAATATATACAGACATTTAAGCAAACTTTCCGCATATGTAAAGAAGTATTAAAGGTCGGAAAATATTTCAGTTGACTTTACGACTTCGTAAAGGCCTCTGAAAGGCAAATGTTCCGTTTCGTAGCTTGTTTTTTAACGTCTAACCATGTTCCAAATGGCAAATAGATAAACGAGTTAATCGCCCAGCCGGCTTCACACTTTCATTTTGCTTTATTTGTGAAGCATGACAAAACTTACATTACTTTTATGTCCTTCGCGTGAACTTACAAAGTATCCATATGCAGACACCCAATGAGGAACGTGTCATGTGATAGGGCGGTACCCAATGGGATACAAGACAGCGAGGTTCAAATCTACCGGACTCAACTCATTTTTATGGCGTCTATTTCGAAGATACGTCGACCCTTGTTGCATTCCAAAACGTGTTCTATTCCAAATTATGATTTGGAATAAAACGAAGTGGAATGCACCTGCATTCCAAAACATGGTCCATTCCAAAACATGATTTGGAATAACACGAGTGGAAGGCCTGTTGCATTCCAAAATGTGATTCATTCCAAAACATGATTTCTCGTAATCACGTGTCTGGGGGCGGAGCCTTGTACTTCTGAGGGCGTGGCTAAACGGATACGTGTCTGGACATGTTTGGCTACAGTCTGAGACGTGCCAAGTTTAATGATGAAATGGGAGCGTTTTAGAATACCTGTGTCACTTATCGAACACACTTATCGAATATCAATAAATATTTTCCTACGTTTCAAACTGGTAGCTTTTTGCTTTTAGCATTGCCCATGCTGTCTGACTTTGTATATTTTGACCATCTAAACCTCCTCAGTGTTAGTAAGGGCACGCCCGACACCCATGCACCTGCCACTGCACGGCAGAACCATGGTAAAGCTCACACACAAAGTGTGGCGACCATCCCTGTCACAATCTAAAATTTCGTCATATGTTTCAACATAACAGTAGCAATTCCACACTGTTGTTGTCGAAACCCTTTCCCAAGCCCACATGTCTGAAGCACGTTTTGGAATATTCTATTTCGTGTCTTTGTCTGAAACATGTTTCGGAATATTCCATAACGTGCCTAGACAAAGGACATGAAATGGAATATTCCAAAACATGTCTGGAGCACGTTTCGGAATATTCCATATCGTGGCTAGATATCCCATATGGGCCGTGGAGACCACATTCTTACAAAATTAGGCTTATTTGTGTAATTTAATGACACAAAGTAATGCTAAATATTTACAAACTTCACTTTAATAAGAAAAGTTTTAACTAGAAATGAAAGCTCCTTGCTATAAATTACGTTCTCTCTTCTGTGTATAAACAACTATCACGTGATTCTATTAGCGGGAAAATAATGAGAAACGGATGCGCAAGCGTCCGACCATTTAGGACCGCACACTGATGGAGATAAACTCAGACCAGAACCAGGCTATGGAACATCATACCAAGGACATTATCGTACTGACTGTTCATGGACGTCAATTTTCCCATCGGACGTACTAATATACCTTTGGCACGCTAAGTTCGACGACATGTTCAGACAAGTAAACACGACGTGATTTAACACAGTATCTGTATACAGGCAGCCAACGGACCAAATATGGAAACTTCGGATTGAATAATTAACCACCATTCCTGTCAATTATTCGTGATTGACAGCATGGCCGGTCACGTTTTGGAACATTCCAAATCGTGGTCCATCTGCGCCATGATTTGGAATACAATATGTGGAATGCCTGCTGCATTCCAAAACGTGGTCCATTCCAAATCATGATTTGGAATAACACGTTTTGGAATGCAACAACCCTCGTTCTAATTGAGACATTATGGCTGAAGTTGAGAATCTCATGGAGCGAGGAAAGGCAAGAAAAATTTTTCGACTTCTTTAGAATATGTTGAAATTGGTGGAGGCCCAGTCGCAAAGAATCCAGGGGCTTCTAAGCAGCGGCAACGACAACACGACTCTCGGCCCGGCTCGGTCTGTCTGACAACAGCCAGGAGGACGGAGGAGAAATCTTTCACAAAACGCCGTATACGAGGGAGCTGATCAAATATATGTTTGGAGATACAAGTAGTCAATTCCTTGTATTGGTGAGCTTAGTTTAGGAATGTATTATTTTGAATTGTTTTCATCAAACGTAATCTGCAGCTGGGGAGGGATACGTAATAATGTGACAATATGGTATGAGCTAACATCTTCTTCTAAAACATTTTATTAGGAATCATTGTATTTTGTATGTTTTACTCAATAAATTGTTCTCAGATCATATCTGTTTCTGTCATCGTATTCACATATACCGACGTAAGTTAAGGTTATGCACAGCCGATCCAAATGTTCGGAAAGGCAACTTAAAGCTTAAAATTGTCCGTAAACAGTGATTAAAGGAATAGTTTACAAAGCCTTTACGGACATAAAAGGTGCGTAAAGGCACTGCTAAAGTGCAAATACGTATCTTTACAGTACTACGGAAAGGGCACGTAAAGACAATGTTTACGAGGGACCTAAAGGCAGCTAAAAGACCTCTTAAATTTTAAGTAAACGCATGCTTTCCGACCAAAAAAGGTCCGTAAACGATACTTAAAGGAATAATTTACAAAGCCTTTACGGACATAAAAGGTGCGTAAAGGCACCGCTAAAGTAGTGCAAATACGTATCTTTAAGTACTACGGAAAGGGCACGTAAAGACAATGTTTACGTACACGGAAAGGTGCCGGAAAGGTGCGTAAAGATGGAAATTACGCCGCCTTTAAGCACGATTTAAGCATGCTTAAATATGGTTTTTCGTG